AAACATTTGGTTGTTCACATCAAATGAATTTTTAACAAGCAACAAAACAAAAATGTTCAAAATTCAGGTTGCAGTCTGACAACTGCAATCATTGGCTAAATTCAGCACACTAAAATGAGACCTCACTTGAATTCACCAGCTGAAGTGTTATGGAAAGTTTGGTAACATTTAGCTATAATGTTTGTGTAGAAGAAGAAAAAAGCAGGTGTTGCTTGTCTCACAACCAGGTAACTTTCTGAAAATCTACACAGATATTAAAAGCATAGGAGCCTTCTGTTCTCACTCTGGAATGAAGAACACAGTCTTTCCACACGCCCCACTCAATCAGTTTAAATGCTAAAAAATTATCAAATAGAATATATCATGATATGACCAAAAACAACCTGTTTGGACGAGTTTGGATCATGATTCTAGCCTTAGGGCTGAGAATGGCGGTATACAAATGAAGTAAATAAATAAATGAGAAAAAAATTAAAATGGTATTGTTGTGATGAAGGCTTTCTTTTTCTTTTAAACAGCCCAGTGTGAAAGCAAACTGAATCTGATGCAAATTCATTCATCAAATTCAGTTGCATAAAAATCTAAGTGAGTTTCATTGTTCAGTGATCCCTGAACCCAATTGCTCAGGAGAGTGCACTTTTCAACCTAGGTAGCAGATGGAAAGCCTATATATTCAAGGCGAAAGTCTTTGGGATGCCCCTGTATTCTGTCAGAGATACTTTAACCTGCTTCTCGTTACCTTTGGTCCATGACATTCAATATTAAAACTGCATTATAAGGCAAGTGAGACCAAACAGCTAAATGTATCCCTTTTAAAAGTAATATTTTGGGCTCACAAGTTGTCCTGGTTAGCGGCATTTTCTGTGTTAAAGCCACTTAAATATACCACTGCTTTTCTTAAGAAATTATTCCCATCCTTGTAACTGATAGCACAGTTGGTTCTTCCGAGTGCCGCTGAATAGCAAAACGGTTCTAAAAAGAAGTAAACCTGTCCAATTCTGAATGGGGAATAACAAGGTTTTGTGATCTCCTACTCCTCCTCAAAAACCGGAAACTATGCAGACTAAGTTAATAATAATAAGAAAATAGTGGGATCTATTTGCATCGCCAGCACCAAGACCTTCTATCCGGGCTGGACTTTGATATTTGCCCCTTGGCTGAGAATCCATATATCCAACTTCACACTTAGCAGCAGCGAAGTAGCCCTCCAGGCAGGCCGACTTCAACGAACCACTAGTGGTATCATCATTAAAATCCTGCTGAAGGTCACCATGGCAACCGCCTGCTGAGGCTTCACTGCTGCACTCGGCATCTCCTAATCAGCTACCATGTGAAATGCAAATTCAGACAGTCTGAAAATTAGTCAAGAAGAATAGAGGATGAGGATGCAGATACGTGAAATATTCATGCGCTTCGCGGAAAAAGGAAGACAGCATGAATGACACAACAAAGAACGGCCCCTGACATCCCTGCGATCGTTTTGCATTATTGTTCACACCCTACTGTATTTCTAGGCCTCCGGTTCTTGAAATGCCGTATTTATATTCTACCAAAAAAAGGGGTAATAATTAAAAATGGCTACTGAAAAAAAAAGAAACAGTTAATTGGGAAGTCTACATTAAGGATATATTGCACACTCTAATGGATAGAATTAGCTCCACCTCACAGGATCTTCCTAATAATATGAGAACACAAGCGCGCACGTCCATACACAACATTTGAATTTGTCACAATAATAAAATGGTATGAATTGTCACACCAAAATTCCTGGACTGCAATCTTTTATTAATAATCCGAATCTTGAAAGGCAAGAGGGTTCCAGGTTTCGAATTACAAGTCACCCTCCATTCGGTGAGCAGTACAAAGCTTTAATACCTACAAAACATATTTCAGAGAGGACGTTTATGTACGCTTCAACATAATCTTTAATTCATGTACACAGAAGTAGAATAACTAGAATAAGTTGCTGGAGCCTCTTTCTTGGGTTGCCGCTAATGTAATTTTATCTTAATCTAACTCAGCCAGTAATATATTTGATGAAGAAATTACACATACATGAAAATATACTCATTCTTATGCACAAGGGAGGGATGTGTATACTTTCTTCTTGTGTGCATAAATGCACTGGTTAACAAGAGTACATTTTTCACCTTTGCTTTTTTCAGTTTGTGCTTTTCTTTTCTTTTTTTAAATTCATTTTTATTGAAGTAAAAAATTGAACAACACAAACATATCGGCATACAAGACAAACAACCAAACACACCTTTGTCTTAAAATGACTACTACTACTACAATTAGTGGCTGAATACCTCCCTTTGTGTATACTAAATTCTTACGTACTTATCAAAGCCTAATTTTGTAATATGTATTTGCCACTGCCTACCTGCCTTCCTAAACAACCAAACACACCTTTGTATTAAAATGACTACTACTACTACAATTAGTGGCTGAATACCTCCCTTTGTGTATACTAAATTCTTACGTACTTATCAAAGCCTAATTTCATAATATGTATTTGCCACTGCCTTCCTGCCTTCCTACCTACCTAACCCAAACACAAAGACAAATTTTGCCCCTATCCCACCAGCCTCTACCACCCTATGACGCAATACAATCCACATACATATAGATTCCCCTTAACTTCCAGGATCTTCAAGCGAACATATATTTAATTTCGTTCCTAACATGTCTTAAATTACTGGTTGGCCTGTAGCCAACCAGAGTGTAACAAGAGTGCATTTTTCACCTTTGCTTTTTTTCAGTTTGTGCTTTTCTTGAACTATCTTCAGCATCAAAATGAAATCACTAGTACAAGTTTGTCAGTGTGGAAACAGAAGCACATTCTTAAATCTTTGACTCTCCAGGCATGATTCTTCCCTGTAGCCCCTATAAATAATTATGGGACCCCTATAAATATATATACACACTCGCTTTTTTTCCCGATCTCTGCATAAGCATACGGATGTGCACAGAAGTCCTGCATCAGGTGGCTGAATACCTCCCTTTGTGTATACTAAATTCTTGGGAATGGGAAGGATGTACCAAGCTCTCCTGTCCAGCTATAATTTTGGTGAAGAAACATGGGCTCTGAGCATATGTTCCTTAATTTAGCAGACAGAAAGCAAGACAGAGAGTGAAGCACATTGGCTGGATCTACACTGCCATATAATTCAGTTTCGGAATGCATTATATGAACTGGATTATATGAGTCTATGCTACCATATAATCCAGTTCAATGTCGTTAACCTGCATTCTGAAACTGCATTATATGGCAGTGTAGATTCAGCCATACATACATGCTCAGAAGAGATAGGGGAAAGGGGACTCTGTTACACATTGTGATACTCCCTTCCATAATCTTAGATTATGCCTATGATTGTACTAGTAACATATGCACAATCTATATAAATAACAATGTAATGTTCATTTGTGGGATTAACATAACTCAAAAACCACTGGACAAATTGCCACCAAATTTGGCCACAAGACACCTACCAACCCAAGGGGTGATCATCACTCAAAAAAATTGAGTTTGTCATTTGGGAGTTGTAGTTGCTAGGATTTATAGTTCATCTACAATCAAAGAGCATTCTGAACTCCACCAATGATGGAACTGAACCAAACATGGCACACAGGACTCCCATGACCATAGGACTCTGGATGGAAGTGGATATAGATCCATCTTATTAGGACGACTGACCACTGTAGTTTTATATTTAGTGTTTTTAAAGTTGTTTTGTAATTTGTGATATATGATATTTTAATGAATGTATATGTTTTTATGGCTGTAAACCGGGCTGAGTCCCTCGACGAGGTTGAGAAGCTCGGTATACAAAACTGTGAAATAAATAAATAAATAAATAAATAAATGACCAACGGAAAATACTAGAAGAGTTTGGTGGGCATTGATGTTGAGTGTGTGAATTGTAGTTCACATCCAGAGAGCACTGTGTACTAAAAAAATGATGGATCTGGACCAAACTTGGCACGAATACTCAATATGCCCAAATGTGAACAGTGGTGGAGTATGGGGAAAATAGACCTTGGCATTTGGGAGTTGTAGTTGCTGAGATTTAAAGTTCACCTACAATCAAAGAGCATTCTGAACCCCACAAATGACAGAATTGGGGCAAACTTCCTACACAGAACCCCTATGACCAATAGAAAATACTTAAGGCCATCCAGTCCAACTCCTTTCATCAGGGCAAGAAAATGTAATCAAATACTGTTTACTCACACACATAAAGAAATTACATATATTAGAAACCAACACTTTCTCATTACTTTATTTTCCAGATCACCAGACTGGGCCACAGAAATGCGTGGCAGGGGATGGCTAGTTTGGAATATAAACTGAAATTCAATGATCAGTTGAAAAACCCATTCGTCTATGCACCTCTTATGAGTGTTATAGATTCCTTTGACAGTGCATAGCTATTTTAAACCATGTCTAAGAAGTAATTACAGAGAGCAATTAATTATCAGGAAACAACAGTAAGTATCATACAGATTAATTTAAGGAATCCTATTGTTCACTATGGTGTAGTTGACTTATACAAAGAGTATTTAAGTCCTACTTTTATTCACTGAAGCAATTTTCCCTATGTAATATAGTCTGCTTTTTACTCTTTTGCATAGAAAAGCAACCACAGAAGAAATCGCAATTCGGATTATCGGAAACAGTCTCAACAGAAATTGGTCCATTACCATCAGAAATAGTGCACTGAAATTTTTAAGCTTTGAGAGTGCACTATTGACTTCAAGAATCAAGCTCAGAGAGAAAATATGGTTTTCAGACCTTTACAAAGAGACAAGGAAGTTCCATTGCAGAAACCACCACTGAAAGGAATTGGAAGCTGTGCACGATCTACATGGTAGAATGCATCTCAGATCACCAGACAAAGGAAGACTTGTCAAAAAGAGAAGCACCATTCACTTTGCAGCACCTGCTATAATGCCACTGTTTTCAAGGAATTGTAGAGAAAAGGGATGTTACTTACCTCTTCTGAGTAGTGATCTGATGGAAGGGGTGGGTAGTCACATTGTTCTATCTTTTTACATAAGGAATACAAGTTCATTTTGTCACCATAGAATGGACTTTGTAATGCAGCCATCTGTATGTACAGAAAAAAGATGGACAAATACACTTTTTGAGAGACATTGAAGAATACTATTTAAAATAAAAAACTATTTCAAGGAGCTATCTTTTCTGATACCAGTTAATACCAGTAATACCAGTAAAAAATACAGCTAATTTAGGTTAGAGACAACAAAACTAGCCCTCTCTATATAATTCCAGAAAAGGTTGCATTTTTTTTGTTTTGTTTTATGCTCTGCCTCAAATTCCACTGTATTTGCTTGTATAATTTAAATAAGACAAGCTGAAGGCCACTAAAGTAGGTACTGCTAACATTATAGCCGATTTATGTCATTTTTGTAATTAAAATTTATTTCTGTAATCAGAATATTAATTAAAAATGTTTCGTGTGAAGCAGTTTTTCCTGAATACAGGGGAAAAAACTCTGTATAAACATTCATTTATAAACAAAATTTTGCTGCTAATACGACTGGTTCTAAGCTTGCATTTCTAAGACGGGTGTCTTAGGCCCTTTTTACACTGCAATATAATCCAGATTATCAAAGCAGATGATCCGTATTATCTGCTTTAAACTGGATTATATGAGTCGACACTGCCATATAACCCAGTTCAGAGCAAATAATCTGGATTTTATATGGCTGGATTTTATATTCCAGGATCTGATCCCAGATTATCTCCTTATCCCAGAGTTAAACCCTTGTGTTGGCAGGACTGCTGACCAATAGGTCAGTGGTTGGAATCCAGGGAGAGCGGGTTGAGCTCCCCCTGTCAGCTCCAGCTCCCCATGAGGAGACATGAGAGAAGCCTCCCACAAGGATGGTAAAACATCAAACACTCGAGCATCCCCTGGGCAATGTCCTTGCCGACAGCCAATTCTTTCACACCAGAAGTGACTTGCAGTTTCTCAAGTCGCTCCTGACACCAAAAAATAAAAAAAATCTGGGAGTGGAGACTCAAACAATCCAGTTTAAAGCAGATAATCTGAGATCGGATCCTGGGATATAGGACAGTGTAGAAGGGGTCTTAGAACCCTTCCACAAAGCTGAATAAAATCCCACTTTATCTGCTTTGAGCTGAAATATATGGCAGTGTGGACTCAGATATCAAAGCAGATATTGTAGGATTTTGTAGCAGATATTGTAGCCTTGATATGCTGGGTTATATGTGTGGGAGGGGCCTTAGTCTTCTGAACCTTAACACACTTTTCACAGGGAAATGGAGACCTCTACTGAAGTCAAATGAAGTTTAAAAAAATAATCTGTACAAAGTATGGCTTGAAGTAAAACATTACTTCAATGGGCATACGTGAGTTCATGCATGCACCTAAAGTTGTTTTCTTTAATATACTTGTTCTAATTATCTTTTTTTTCTTAATAAAGTAACCATTGTCCAAATATAATGGTAACCCCTAAGTCTATCTAAAAGAGGCCATATAACCATCAAGTACTGCAAAAACCCAACAAGATTTTGTTAAACTATTTTTTTCTATTTATAGCTCACCTTTCCCCTAGGACTTTAGCTTTCCCCCCGAAATGGCACCAATGAAGGTTGAACCATCATCTGTTCATGTACACCGACATATGTTTAGAGGATTATGCATGTTGCCTCATTCCCCACCCCAACGACTCTTTTTACATTCAACAAGAAACTTGATATGAAGTCAGACTATTGGCCATTTGGATTACCCCTATCTACAGCTGAGGTAGAAATTGGGTGCGACTACAGTTGCTACTGAATGATAGTGCCCATCATTCCTCATCATTGACTATGCTACTCAGGGTTTCTGGAAGGTGCAGTCCAACATTTGGAGGACAACACAACAGCCACTTCCACACACACACACAAACACACACAATCTGTAGTGAATTATGGTAGCTCCCCTAGGTTTCATCTCAAGTTCTGCCTGAGTATGATAGAACACAACCTGAGACCTTTTATATACAACCACTGGACTATGGGCTTTTTTCCCACTGGTGTAAAAATTATTCCTTAATATAAAATATGTTTGTACAGTCCTTAATGCATATACTCTTCTGGTTACTTTTGGAAAAGCTAATTCCTTTAACTTATATACATATGCCATTCTATTGGTTACTATTAGGTTTTATCATATTTATTGCCATGGCCCATTTTACTTCCACTTCACTATTTCTGTTTGTATGTGCCTTCAAAGTACCTGTTGACTTATGCTGATCCCATGGATTTAATACGGTTTCCTCAGGCAAAGAATCCTCAAAGGGGTTTTGCCAGTCCCTTCCTATGAAATCTAACTTGCAGCTAATTGTATTCATTAGCAAACTCCCATCGAATTGCTAACCAAGGGCGGACCCTGCTTAGCCTACAGGATTAGGCAGAATCTGGTGCTTTTAGGGTGTACGGACTATGGACTGGCTTCGGATTAAGATGCTGACGGTTGAACTCAGAGTATTTGTACTAATTTAAATGGTTTTTAATCTAATTTATTGTTTATTTATTATGTAACTGTTGTTTTACCTGTTGTATATATGGGACACCGAATTGTTGCCAGCTGTAAGCCACTCTGAGTCCCCCTTCGGGGGTAAAGAAGGGTGGGGTACAAATATTTAGATTATCTTCTTTGAACTGGATTATATGGCAGTGTAGACTCATTTAATCCAGTTCAAAGCAAATAATATAATTATCTGCTTTGATAATCTGGGTTATATGGCAGTGTATAAGGGGCCTTAGTAAAATATGACAGCAACCAATTTTAAAGTCAGAGAGTTCTTTTCTATTCAAAAAGGAAACAGCTAGGCACCAAAAATAAAAAAAATACTGCAATTCTACAGAATGAAATCTAATAGGTATAACAGTTTGGGGGGGGTGTATTTTAATACTTAGAAAGCATTCCATTTTTGCCGACATAACTCTATATAGTACATACATACACCACATCTTTTGTTAAAACATATTCAAAGAAAAAGAGCAACTTCCAAATATCATTAGTACATTTCAATGTTTATTTCAAGGCAATGCTGGCTCCTGACATTCCAAAAGCAAACAAATACCACAGTGAGGTTGGTAACTTTAAAAGGATTTGTAGAAAAATGTTCGCATTGCCTCCCAAACCCTTTAAATCTCTGAACCGCAGCAGCATGAGCACGGCTCGGAGTGCAGCGCTGCCCCAAAGTCAGTCACCCTTTTCTACATGTGCTAATAAGTTTGATTTTGGAAGGACAATGTGTACATTCCCCAGACAGGCAGAGTGTGTGTGAAACACGCTAGTCCATGCTGTGCTACTCAGTGAGCTTCAGCAGGGACAGGACAAGCTGAAAATGGCTCTCATCTGTCTTATGGTCTTCCAGACAGAACATTAACTCCTTCGCGGCTGAAAATGCTACTTGTTTCTGCAGCAGTATAGCAAGAAGACTGCTGGGAAGGAAGCCTCCAAAAGGAAGGCAGCAGTTTCACAGCAAGCATATCAAAACCCATCAGAGCTATGCAAACTAATTGGACATCATAAATACTGTATATTTTAATCCCCTAAGAGTAAAGGGATTAAGGCTCTCAAGGAAAGCAGTTTCCCAACCATATTGCCCACCATAATATTAAATCTTGAAACATCATAATTCATGCCCCTCCATTTGGGGTGTGTGTTAAATGTGAACAAAATCAAAGTCAGAAATCCCATCAACAGAACCTGTTTGTATGCAAAAAAAAAAAAAAATCCAAAATAAATGCAGGGACCGTCAGTGTTGGTACAATAGGTGTTCATTAAAAAGTACTTTTGTCTGAACACTGCAGAGTGTTAAAAAAAAAAGAAAGAAAAGAAAAGAAAGAAAAGCTGAATGTCCCCTAAGGAGTTAAAACAGGAATACTATATTTTCATGCATCTCCTGCTTTGACAGATGAAAAATGTCAACTGTCCTGTTTTTATTTTCAAGCTTTTGCACTATTCATCTGGTTCATTAGTGCATCTCGCTGCTGCCCCTGACAGCTGCTCGCCCTCTCCTCCCAGCAGCTGAATTTTTCAGGCTAATTTGATCCTCCACACTGAGACGATCGTGAGAATGATTGACTTGCTCCCTGACCTCCAGGGTCTGACTTTCCTGCTTAGTATTCTGGGGGTGTCTGAGGGACGAAAGCCCACTGTCTGTCTTCAGGGCTGGTGGCAATGTGTGCTCGCTTGCTCGCTCGCTCACTCTCCTTTTTGGGGAGGAACTGTAAGCCACCAACCTACGACCCTGTACGGATGCAATTGCTGTGCTGAACAATAAAGGAAATGTGTAAAACCTACTTTTCCATGTAAAGGTCCGTGTAGCAAAAGCATGGCATCTTGATTTTAATTAGTAAAATCTATCTTGTTGCATATCAATTAAAAACCACAGTGATTAGAGAATGTTTTGGCGGTAAGGGGTTTTTTTTATTAAGAAAAACTATCTCGGGTATATTTGAAAGTCTAATTTTCTGATTGCAAGATGAACCTTTAAAAATCCTTGTAGTGGGCAAAGGCAATAAGGATTATCACTCTGTAAATGATATACAATATACACTAGGAAGGAGTAGAAAAATACATGGAAGCTTAGATTAAAATCTAATCAGACTGAGAGAAATTAACAGTCAAATAAAATGTAAATTTAAAGGCAATTCCTTGAAAATGTTGCAAAGACCTTCGTAGATGTCACAAACAAGGTCCAAATCTTCCTGCTGTTAAATTGAATGGAAAGGATGAATCCAACTAATCTGCAACTAATTAATGAATTTTAAACTGAACCTTACATTAAAGATATTGAACAATCAGGAACAAATAAATCCACCTCATAGAGAAACTGAAAAGTTTTTATTTTTTCAGGCCCACTGTTGTTAATGGAACTAAACTGGCTCAATTCTGTCTGCTCCATATAAACCATTTTAAGCTGGCCTACAAGCACAACTATATGGATTTCAAGTGGGCATAATCTGTGGGCAGTCAAATAAAATAGAGCTGACTGGTCATGAGTTTCAGGAATTGAGAAATATCTTATTGGCACCAGTGTAGTACATGACAACCATATGATTTCCAGATTATTCTGCTGCATAATTTATTTATTATTTATTTTATTTACTTTATTTATATACCGCTTTTCTCAGCCCTCAGGCGAGAAATAGCCACGTCCCAACTTTGATCTGTCAGAAAGAAATTGAGGAATAATTTTAAGAAATCTGAAATGTAATAGCAAACTATGGTTCTTTCTGAGAAAGAAATCAATACTATATCCTTTACAATATATTTCAATAAATAAACCCTTAAGCACAAGAGCATTCGAACTCGAAACCATACTACAATACCAACTGGCAAAAACGAAGAGAAAAATGTTAATTAAAAAACATAGCTTTTAATTTCATAAAGGATCATTTCTAGAAATGCATGCTGCTAGTAGCAGCAAAATCAGATTCACAGATTCCTAACCTGATATCTATCTATAAAGGAATTATTCCATTGAGGTTTTAATCACTAAACAGTTTACATTAAACATTGCTACGTGTAATCTAAATGGTTATTACAGAAAATAAACACTTTTGCATTTCAATTCCCATTTTTGACTTATTCTAGATTAGAAATTTAAAGCATAAAGCTTTTAGGATCCATATAATGTTACTTCTACCAAAAACACAATAGATACATACCACCCACAGTATCAAGAACACCTGAAAAAGTATTTCCCTTGAGCAGTCAAGCGAACCTAGTAGGACTCTTTATGAGTGCAAGGGAGTCAACATGAAAAGGATTCTCATGAGGAATAGGAGTCTAGTGATTATGATTATTGTTATTTGAAAAAGCCAAATTCTGCCATTCAAAGGCTACTGAAATGGCAATGGTCTATTCCGTTTTATCTGCTCCGTGAGTGTCTTGTGTGACAGCAAAAGAAAAAGATCATTTTAGCACCAAGTTGATTTTTTTTAAAAAGGGGAAAGAAATTGGTGTGAAATATGAGCAGGTAATTCACAAAATCCCCATTCTGTACTAGCAGGTGTTTATCCTGATGGAAAGCTTTGGTGAGTTCTGCTGAATCACGGAGGCAGGTGGTTCATCACTTCACCTGGAAGCTTTTGAGCTGGGAGGGTTTCTCCAGAGAGCATTCGGATAGCAGTAGTACAGCCCTGTGGGAGAAATCTTAGCAGCATCTGTGCATGTCCTGAAGGATTTGCTTCAACTGGGTTATCTTGTTGCTTTCTGTTTCATTAACATTAAGCTAGAGGAAAGGGTGGCAATATAATTAGCATGTACGTATGTGAATGAATGGGTGGGTACCTGTTCACAGCCTTATTTTGCTTCAGATACTTCAGGAGGCAGGGTTGCCAGGTATTAATTAATCCAACAGTGATCTCATGTTTTTAACAGTTGTAAATATTTTGATAGCTCCTTAAGCACCACTGAAATGTCCCTAGTAGTCCCAATCATTTTCACCCGAATGTTCTGCAAAGTTCAAGGCTGAAACGTTTTAAAGCAGAGGGTAGTTTTGTTTGAGTTTGCCATAGCCAGGAGTCAATTCTACAAGCTTGGTTTGTTCTGTGCATATAAGGAAAACGTTTCTACTAAGATTTTTCCCCTTGATAGAGCTAGCCTTGGTACTGAACAAGTGTTTTTACTAGGAATAAAAAATATCCAAGTAAAAGAAATAAACAAATAAGATTAATTTCTCTCATAAGTTTTAATGTGTCTAGATCACACCCTTTAGAATAGATGCGCGTTTTGTCAACTGTAAAATGTCACATTCCTACACTTCTTCTTAACAGTGATATATTACTAAGTAAACAACAGAACAAAGATAAGCAACAGGATCTTAGGATAGAAACGGTCCAGTATATACATTTAAAAAATCAGCATTACTACAGTTGCCATTATTATTACCTCATACAAGAGACATCCTAAGGACCAGATGTCTGATTTGAAGTTATATCCATTTTCATGGATTCTCTCTGGAGACATGTAATAAGGTGTTCCGACTGCAACAAAAATAGAAATATAATAAACATCATCAACGTGTTTTCAGGTAATTTACATTCTTGCATTTGAACTGTGAAAATTACCTCATGTTAATTACAGGTACTAAGAGTATACAATGTCACATTTAAGAATATATAGGAATTTACATATTCCACAGAGAAATCTTTTAATACCAACACAAACTTGCATTGATGCAACCCTGTTTCAATTAATTAGTAAGGTTTAGTTATATGATAAATGGCTTATACAAAAGGGGAAAAAATCAATTCCGTTTTCTAGAATTACTGCTAATTCTCATTTCCAATAATGTAGCATTATCTTAATTTTATGGTTGCAAATTATAAGACTCAGTGTGTTTTACAATACAAACAAGTCATAATATTCAGTTATTTACAGCATTTATAACACAAAAATCATATTATGGGCTATTTCAATAATATTTTTTCCTTTTTCTGTGAAGGCAGGCCCTAGTAACTGATTCAGAAACAAAATCTTGATTTTATCACATCCTATCTTTTAAACAAAAAAGAGATAACTAATTGAGTTTGCAAGATATCTAATGAACAGTTGCTTTTTAATTTTAATTTGTAACAGAATATCATCATTCCAATTTTATGAAACAAAATATGATAAATAGTCCTCTCTCAAAAAACAAAATTGTGTGGATTTTTTTCCTATTTTTTTCTTGCAGAACATTTCTCATATATTTAATGAGGAGCAACTGAAATATCAGGATCAATGACTGGAAAAAAGAAAAAAAGAAGATGGTAGAAGAAATACACTAAGTCTTACACTCGCTATGTGTGTACATGTGTGGGCTTGTAAAAGGCAATCCCATTAGGATAAATACCGACACCTCTTTAGACTTTTTCACACAAGACAATTTTCTTATACATCACATACTGTCTCTTCTGCTCAGATTCCTGATACTTGTCCTTGTGTCGGAAAACACAAAACACATTTCAAAGCAAAACTGTATGTGTCATACATGTATTTTAATTCTTGGTAAAGACCACACATACAAAAGGACTTTCACTAGCAATAACTTTAATTCCCAAATACATTGTATGAAATATATGAAATTGTTTCCTAAGTAAAAATGTTCTGGATTGATACAAATAACATTTGAGCTAAAGATGACTGAAACAAAAGCTTTGCAGGAGTTTTTATAAAGCCTTTAAAATGAATATATAGCTGAGAGGTTTTTAACCAAACCGCATTCTTTTACTTTATAATGAGCTCATTGGGATCTGGTTCCAGGACCCCTCTGGATACCAAAATCCATGGATACTCAAGTCACATTGGTATCATAAAATGGTGTCCCTCATATAAAATGGCAAAATCAAGGTATGATTTTTAGATTATTGTTCTTTCAAAATATTTCAAAGGCATAGACTCTTTGATCCGTGGATGCAGAATCTGTGGATATGGAGGGCTTACTGTACTATTTATGTATTGTATTTATATATTTATGTACATTTACTCAGATATAACATCTAAAGCTTTTAATTGTGATTTCTTCCAAGTAAAGGGGTTCAAATAGTAAATTACGTGATTATTTAAATTTTTGTATTGCAGGTGTTTTGGACTTCAGCTCCCAGAAGTCTCAGCCAGTATGGCCAACCATCAGGAAATCTGGAAGTAGAAGTTCAAAGCATGTGGGTAGTAGAGTTGAATCATTAACCTAATTTATATGATTACTGCAACGCTCTCTACGTGGGGTTGCCTTTGAAGACAGCTCGGAAGCTCCAACTAGTCCAACGCTCGGCAGCCATGATTTTAACAGGAGCGGAGCGCAGGGAGCATACAACCCCCCTGTTGCGCCAACTCCACTGGCTACCGATCTGCTACCGGGCTGAATTCAAAGTGCTGCCGTTGGCCTTTAAAGCCCTAAACGGTTCCGGCCCAAGCTACCTATCTGACAGCATCTCTGCCTATCAACCCACCAGGACTTTGAGATCTTCCGGGGAGGCCCTGCTCTCGATCCCGCCTGCTTCTCAAGCTCGGCTGGCGGGGACGAGAGATAGGGCCTTCTCGGTGGTGGCTCCTCGGCTGTGGAACGCCCTTCCTACGGACATTAGACTAGCACCATCTCTAATGGTATTCCGCAAAAAGGTGAAGACCTGGATGTTTGTGCAGGCGTTTGAGTAATTTAGTGCAATCTGGTAATGGAACATAGGAATGGAACAATGGACGACGAACCTGGACTACGCTTGGATGATGAGAAGATTGGGTACGGTTGTTTTTTGTAATAATTGTGCATTGTAATTGCTTATTGGTAATTTATGGATAATGTGTTAAGTCAATTGTTATATGTTGTATGGAACCACTGCTGTTTCTACTGTTTTTACTGTTTGTGAACCGCTGTGAGTCGCCTTCGGGCTTGAGATACAGCGGTATATAAGCAAAGTAAATAAATAAATAAATAAATATGACCAAGTAAACCAGTTTGTTTTACAGCATGCTTGGCAAACTCCCCTTAATCTGGCAGAGCAAATTGTTCATTACTATCCTCTATCTAGAGTGCTCAAAGCTACTTGGTCCATGCCTCCAAAAAACCTAACAGGAAAGTTTTGCTCTGAGATGATGGAAAATAACTGCTTTCTTAATGACTACCTAACCGGTAAGAGCCACCACATTCTCCCATTTTAAAGGGTTGCAATTTTTAAAAACTTCCATACCAAAAATGTTGAGGAAACCTTTTAAAAAATGATGCTGCAGATTAGCAGAATAAGACAACATGGTTCTGAAAAATTACTTTTGCAATATAAATTTGACCTGGAAAAAAACCATTCTGTATTAACCTGTTGACAAAACCAAAGCAAAACAACCTCACACAACACCCTATGCATCACAAAACCAAAGCTAATGTAATACTCTTCTGATTTGCACAGATCTGCAGTTTTTATGGGTCTAACACACAGAGCAGGGGATTGGTGGAGAAAGACTTCACAGAATCCACAGGGGGCAGTGGAAAACACTAAGGTTTAAAGATAGTGCACCAAAAGCAAAAGTACCTTTAGCCAGTCGTTCTCAGAAACCTGCTGTTACATAAGGGGGTTGAGATGAGTGTGAAAGATTGATGATACAGAAAAAGGAGAGTAAATGCTTGCATTTTGCAGAGTTTAGCCTAGCCTAACACCTCAACTATAATACAAACTGAAGCTTTCAATAATGACTTTCAGACTTCACACAAACAAATGAAAGAAAGTACTGCTACATCCTACTAAGATCAGTTTAACAACACAGACAGCTTCGGTCCTTTCAAAGGCCCTTTCTTTCATTCTTCTCAAAACACCAGAACATGAGGGTCATTTGAAAAAAAACTGATTGGCAAGAGGTAAGGAATGGATAAAAGCAAGAACATATTCATGCAGTGAATAATTAACAACAGACTAGACTGCCACAAGAATGTATCATGCAACGGCCACTGGAATGAACTGATTTTAAATACATTACGTTTATTAAGAAGAGGTCTATCAAGTACTACTACAGAAACAACCCAAAATGTTCAGTACAGGTTCTCTAACAACACTGAGGCCCTTTCTACACTGCCATATAATTCAGATTATCAAAGCAGATAATCCACATTATCTGCTTTGAACTGGATTATATGAGTATTTTGTTGTTGTTCATTCGTTCACTCATTTCCGACTCTTCGTGACCTCATGGACCAGCCCATGCCAGAGCTCCCTGTCGGCTGTCACCACCCCCAGCTCCTTCAAAGTCAATTAGTCTCCACTGCCATATAATCCAGTTCAAAGCAGATAATCTGGATTTTATATGGAAGTGTAGAAGGGGCCTTAGTTGACTGCTGATATAGAGCTTTCATGATCGACTTCGAGGCTGCAAAAAATCAATGAATTCAACCTAGGTAAATTATCAGAATTAACAACAATCCTTCAAGGAAACCAGTATCATCCCTTTTTGTTCAATTCAGCTTCAAATAAGAAGGAACCCAGACCACAGAGGAAAATTTTGAGGATTTCTGACAACTAGAAAAAAGCCTTTGCATTGTATTTTCAAGAGCCAAGAGTAATCAAGCAGCAACGTACACTGCATTTAGAAGTGCTCTAACATACATGCACACATATACACACCTAACTGTTTAGAGAGGTAAATTTATTTATAACATAAATTAAAACTAGTCAAGGCAAACTGGAAGCACAGAAATCTATACAAGAATGTTAATACTTGGAAAAAATATTTAGCTCCTTCTTCAGAATACTATTCAATACATGGGTGGCGTAAGAGCCACAGAAGCCTATGACTTGAATAGCAGCCATTGGAGCCCATGGGTGGCATAGAAGCCATCATTCCCTACTGTACTTTTCTTATATCCTCCCTAGCTGTTTCTGGGGGTAAGAGAACCCTCCAGAACAACATGAGATGGGCTATATGGAAGAAATGGAATGACTGGTAAATCTCCAGCACATTCCACTTGCACAAAGACACAGTGATATTTCACAAGCTAGTGAATCTTTTTGACTGTCATTGTGCACAAGGCTTGTGTATAAAGTAAGCTTCCTCTTTACTATCTTCTTTCCCAGGCGGAAGTCACTTCGGGAAAAAACAGTTTGAGTCTGAAATGTTGCTTGGGCTCCAGCTTTAGGCAATCTTACAGAGTTGGGGCTTAATGGATACGTATTTTGGACTAGACCTTTATACATCTTTAAATCTATTTTATGCTTTCCAAAATGCTGTGTTAGTTACAGGATAAACATGGCAGACAGTGATCTTATTTAACATGTATGACTTAGCCACTTTTTCTGATACACAATGTCACTTTCATTAATGAACTGAATAAGGTCAAAATAGTGGGAATAGTTCAAAGTACAACAGTGTTTTGCAACTGTTGTGGCTCGCCTCATGGAGATACTGTTTACACTGACAGTCATGTTTCTCCATGTCTCAGAAACAGCATGAACTGTATACATGTGAGTAGTCCTATATTACTGATGTTAACAGCATCTTAAAATGTTAATTGTTCCAAATACACTTACCAGTGATTTCCTACTGGTTAAGGGTAATTAACAACTAATTACTTGTCAGAATATATTTACAATATTACAGTATTATATTCAGCTACCTAGTGTGAACTGTTTTACCTTTTATGAGGCGTGCATTTTAGAACAGACTTATAAGTATTAAATGCCAAATAAGCCTGTTGGGTTATTTCCAGATATTTGGAACTGCAACATACTACGCTTCTTTAGCATTGTTCATGCTTCTCAAATACTGTATTGCAATCCAGAAGACACTGCCTCCTTTGGAGTTTGTAATGCAAAAGGTGGAATTGCTCTCCATTCTTGAATTGGGTTGCTTTGAGGTTTCCGGGCTGTATGCCCATGTTCCAGAATTATTATCTCCTGACATTTTGCCCACACCTATGGCAGGCATCTTCAGAGGTTGTGAGGTCTGTTGGAAACTAGGCAAGTGCCGTAGGCATGCAATGGGTTTCTATGACTGAGCAGAGATTCAAATCCTCAGAGTCCTAGTTCAAGAATCAAGACTATACACTGACTGTCGTACTGTATCAAAATAGAGGTTGACTTTTTAAAAAATCCTCCCCAAATATGCAGATACAAGAGTATCACCACAAAGAACAGCTCAATTCTCAGTAAGCATTTATTTTACAGTCTAAAGGCAAATATTTAATGTCTGGTATGACAGATTGTTCAGAATCTATTACTAAAACAAACCCCATTGAGCATGCATCTACTTTGAATTCTTAAACTTAGTTTTCATGCACTGTTACAAAAAATCAAGAAAATTGTCCCGACCTAAAGAATGTGCAGCTGTGGTTTTAGAGCTGAAAAATCTTCCCAGTCCAAGATCTCCAAGTTTTACTACTCCTGTAGCAGTAATGAATACATTGGCTGGCTTGATGTCTGTAGAAAGGAAAGGAAAAATATGTTCAACTAGCAGGTGAGATTTCAATACCTGCAGCATTAGAAGCAATAGATGAGCAATCATAACATTTTGTTTCATGTTAAATATATTGGAAGTCTGCTTTAAATCAAGAATAGGGAATATTTAGATCTCCAGGTGCTTTACACTAAATATCTCACACTCCCTTGCCATAAGCCATGCTGGGCTGAGCTGATGGATTATGTTGACCAAAACATCTAGGGACCCTCCCCACCTTAAAAACATTAATAATGACCAATTACTGCCTTGGGTAGGTTTTTTATTTTACAAATACACATTCTTGAAGTTGCATTCTTCAGCATGCTTAAAAATTTAATGAATAACAATACAGGCATTTATGGGTTCACTAGATTTAGTACTCTATATACAGCAACAGTGTAGTAAGCTTTCCCTTGGTAGGGATTTTTTTTACCTCTTGATAAAATGTGTATCACTGAGGCTCTTGATGCCTGCCTTGGTGGTAGCATAATTAAAATGGTTCAACTGCTAGATCTGCAGGGTTTTAAGAATTTCCTTGGGGAGTTTTCAATCAGCTTTGCTAGCTATGTTGTCAATGCCCTTTATCCACCTAGAATGCAAAGTCTCCTTAGTGACAAGAATGTAAACCTTCTCTTATTCTGTTTTCATGTGGGGAACATTTCATATATTATTTCCCAACTACAAGAGGTTTTCCAAATTCAGCACAATTTTCTATCTAGGGGCTTTTTGCAAACATTTCCTTTTTTAAAAAATACTTTGCATATAGTACATTTTATACATAAATATTTTTTCCCTTGAAAACATTTGCAGAGAAATATTGTATTGCAGTTCTGTCACAGGTTTGGTGCAATAAGGTATGTTGTATAAAAACCACCACAAATGGAAGGGGAAGGGCAAAAAAGAGAAAAATCTCATGATGACTGACAAACATCATGGATGTGAAAATCTGCCAAAATTCTCCACTTCTCTGCCCAGTAGTTAACAAAAAAGCATTAAAATTTTAAGACTAGGATAAAGTGCTTTTTGGCTTTTTTAATAAACACAATCCTACCTGCTCTGCCTTCTGTCTCAATCTCTTCCAAAACTAGTAAGAACACATAACAAGACTCCCAGCATTGTAGTGCCCAGGCTTAATTGAATTTAGTTACTACTGAAATCAGTGGGATTTAAGGAATGAGTGGTCTTTCTTGCTGATGTCTCCAGTAATAAAGTGCAGTTAACTTAGCCTGGATTTAAGCCAATGTTGTTCTGGTAGATTTTTCACCTGACTGTTAAGTAAAATATAGACTACTGCAATGCTCTCTATGTGGGGTTGCCTTTGAAGACTGCTCGGAAGCTTCAAATGGTCCAGTGTTCGGCAGCCAGGTTGCTAACAGGAGCGGCACTCAGGGAGCATACTACTCCTCTATTGCGCCAGCTCCACTGGCTGCCAGTTTGCTACCGGGCACAATTCAAAGTGCTGGTGTTAGCCTATAAAGCCCGAACGCATCTCCTCCTATGAACCGACTAGGACACTAAGATCATCTGAGGAGGCCCTGCTCTCTGCCCCGCCTGCATCACAGGCGCGCTTGGCGGGGACAAGAGACAGGGCCTTCTCAGTGGTGGCCCCTCGGCTGTGGAACACCCTGCCTGCAGATATCAGATCGGCCCCCTCCCTGCTGGCGTTTCGGAGGAAAGTGAAGACCTGGATGTTCGAACAAGCATTTGTTTACACAGTGTAATTGAACATAGGAATACGGAATAATGGATGATGAGATTGGATTCTGATTTTACTGTTGAGGCGCTAATGATTGTTATACTGATGTTTAATGATTTATATTACAATTGTTTTTAATTGCCCTATACTTGTCTTGTGATGTTTTGTATCGATGTTGTTCACCGCTTTGAGTCGCCTGAGGGCTGAGAAAAGCGGTATATAAATAAATAAATAAATAAAATCTATCACTGCCCTGGCTTTAATTTGTAGTCTTTCTTCTGACATATTATTTTAGGGTTGAGTTATTTCATAACTGTTCTTCTTAGCCAGCTTGGGAGTTTTTAGCGATGCAAAAGAAAATGGGTGCAAAATAGTTTAATAAACAAACAGCACATGGCAGACTCTGCCACAGATGAGAGCCAGTTCTATTCACTCAAATTCCAGGAAGAGCAGGGACTATGAGTTCAGCAGCAGTGGTGGAAGTCCCCAAGCAAGTTCAACCAAATATAAACTAGAACCTATTTCAAGGCACAAGCAGTGACACTGATGCAATCTCTTCACCCCTCACTGCATCTATGCACCCTGATAGAGTTTTCCAAAGTTTTTCAAACTAATCTTTGCTGAACAGTAGTTATAATGGCACACATCCACATTAGCCTATGATTATTTGTTTGATGTGTATCTTTGCTTTCTCCCAATAAGGAAACTAAAGCAGTTATATGGTATCCAAAGTAGTGTTGTTAGGTGCTACTTCTATGCATGTCAGTCAAAGTTGAGCTTTGACTGACATGACCTGAGGGTACAGATCAGCCCTCAGTATTTTCGAGGTATTTTCTAGGTTCTTTGGACTAAAGAGCCTGGGGTTCCTGATCATTGTTGTAAGCTGAGATACTTTCTGGAGGTGGACAGTCTGGAGAAGACAAAGTCCTAGAAAAGTCCTTGAAAAGCTACAAACTAGGTTAATTGCTGGTTGGTTTTGGGTTGGTTTTAAAATAATGGGCCAGGGTGATTTGGCAAATGTCAGGTAAATGCTCATAGTTCTAATCTCTTCAGGGTGATAAAACTCCCTGGCCAAATTTTGCACTAAATGTCCTTAGAAGCACTTTATTTATGGTTTGTGCAATTGAATCCTCCCTCATTCTCAGATCCTTATTTTGATAATTTATATTTTCCTATCTCTCAGTGTTTTTAAAATTTTAACTTTGAATGTGGCCCTGCCCAGTGAAATTTCTGTTTTTAATTGCTTGTCCTATATTGTCTGCGTCGTTTATTTTACTTTATTTTATTTGCATTTTATGTATTTTATTTCTGGTATTGCTATATATTTTATTATAATGTATGTACTGTACTGATGGGTGTGGCCTCATGTAAGCCGCACCAAGTCCCCCGGGGGAGATGGAGCAGTGTATAAATAAAGTTTTTTTATTATTATTATTATTATTATTATTATTATTATTATTATTTTATTAAAACAAGAACTTTGTTTAAAAACAATTCCATGCACATACAGGATATGACTAGCTATTGGATGCTTTCCAGTTTGCCATTTTCAAGCAAGGTGATTCAATCTTTTTCATTTTTTAAAATTGTTTGTGTGAAGCTTCATGTTGGGTAAGTTTTCTGTCTGGATCTGAAAAACTGTCTACAGGGTTGGAATATATATATATAGATAGATAGATAGATAGAGAGAGAGAGAGAGAGAGAGAGAGAGAGACAATCTATATATATATATTCCAACCCTGTAGACAGTTTTTCAGATCCAGACAGAAAACTTACCCAACATGAAGCTTCACACACACACATATATAAGCTCTCCCTCTCTCTCTCTCTCTCTCTCTCTCTCTCTCTCTCTCTATATATATATATATATATATATATATATATATATAATCTGAAAAAATGCCAAATACTATTTGGTATCAACCATTGGGGAGCCTCTTCTAAAACCCCAAATCTGTAATAATTTAATTTTAATCCTTATAGCAACTGAATTTTTTATTTGGTTATGCTGAACAGCAGTATCTGAAGTGGAACAAGATTTCCTGTAGTATTGCCAGAGCATATTAAGCTGGCTGTATTTGTCCTTAAGCTGACTTTTCTGACATGGCTTCACAGTCAGCCAAGGCTTTTTGTCTTGCATGCAATAAGATTTTAATAAGTACTAATTGCACTGCTATGACCCAGGCTCCCAGAGCCTACCAAATGCTCCCCCTTGTCTCTCCAACTCTGCAAACTGATGCAGACAAGAGACAGTGCCATTTCCCTGCCATCTGGGGAGGAAGGGAAGAAGCAGATCTAACTCCCTCTCTCAGATAAATGACAGGCCGATCGGCACTATTTCAAGCTTCATTCAAAAAGTTATGCACAGCATGAGTTTTTAACCCCCTCGGTTACCCACATCTTTTATAGATATGTCACATCCGCAACAAAAAATAAGGAAAATTTTATCCTGGAAATAAATAGCAGTAACAATAGGTTCTTGAAACCAATCAGGGTAACAAAAAACCTGAAAAGATAAAATGCAACCTGCTACAAAGATACATGACTTGGGTTCAGACTATCTGAACTACTGTATATCCTGATATGAGGCAGCTCAAGTCTTAGGATCCCCAGGGCAGTGTTCTTTTCCAGTACATTTGGAGGACAATGGAGATAATTTTTTCAATGGTTAGTAGTTAAAATGCTCCTTCAATGATTTTGTTCCCCTTGGCAAAAAAAAAATGTTAATTGGGATTTGCTGTGTTTTTATCATTGGTATCATGCTGTCTTTGAAATTAATTGTTTTTTAACCTTTGCATTAGTTACTGCTTAAACTATGTTCTGTTTATAATCATATTGAGAGCTGGCTTGGATTCCATACTGAAAGGGAATATAAGCAAAATGAATTAATAAAAGACAAGGGGAAGAGAGGTATTGGTCCATCCATCTACTGGTCAGAAAAATAACCACTGGAGGGAGTCAGATGCCCTTCTCCCTTTGGGAGAGAACACTTAGATGCCTTTTACACTGTCATATAAAATCCAGATTATATGCTTTGAACAGGAATTTATGGCAGACTCATATAATCCAGTTCAAAGCAGATACTGTGGATTAACTGCTTTGATAATCTTGATTATATGGCAGTGTAGAAAGGGCTTGAGAGCTAATTGCATCCCCCAAAAGGCTCTACTCATTACCTAGCGCAGTGTTTCCCAAGCTCTGATCTTCCAGGTGTTTTAGACTTCAGTTCCCAGAATCCCTGATCACTGACTAAGGCAAATGAAGCTTCTGGGAGTTCTAGTTTTCCAAAACAAAACACTTGGAGGACTAAAGTTTGGGAATCACTGATCTATACATTTAATACCTGGGCTGAGCATGTGTGAGAGAGGAGAACTCAGAAGGCTAATTTTAAAAGGCATTTCCTCCTGTTATCTGCCATGACATGTGAAAGACTGTGATTACTTGTGGCAATATCAAAAATAATTCAAAGCATCTCTCACTCTGTTGCTTACTGTTTTTTGTCAAGTGATTGGGGGAAATTAACAAAGGGAGACGTCATAAAACAATGAAATATTCCTGACAAAGTATTTGATAAATTCCATATAACAATAATTATAAAAAGTTACTAGAAAATGTTGTCTCTTTACATTTGAAACTGGATGCTACACCACCCGAGGTCTCTAAATAACGGGTGGGACAACAAGTATTCTATTACATAAATAATATGCATAACTTCTGCATGTGGGGAAAACAAACAACAGTATTGTTTTCATTATAACCTGGACCCCAGGGAAAACCTATAAAATTTCAGGAGACCAACTGCAGTAATTGCAAACAGTGTTTTGTAAAATCATCAGACATATTGATTTCTGCCATGCTTGGTGATGTCCAGTAAAACAGGAACAAACAACATCCAGTTACAGTCACAAAATTCCTAGATTATAGGGCTATATGGTTTGTCTGTATATATAAACTTGGTAGAATAAGTATATTACGTGTTATTTCTTATTACAAACTCTGGAAAAGAGATAGAAAGTGAGAGAGTGTGTTTTTATTAAGTATCCTTGCCTGTATTGTGTAAGAAAACCTGAGTAGGTTGTCAACACAAATAAGTATCTGCAGCATATAAGTAACATGCATATGTATTTAGAACTAATGCTTATGTATCTTTGCAGATACAGCTGACTATTTTTAAAACTTTCTTCTAAGGAAATGTGATGTAGTAGAGTTTGTAAGTAATGTTGCAAGCAGTAGTATGGGTGCAGGAAGGGGAAAAGGGGTTACTCGTGAGCAGCGGTCTGATGAGGAACAACAGAGGAAAAGGATTCGGGATATACTTATGGCACTTACAGATGAGGACTCATTTGAGGGGTTCTCTGGGGATGAAGGGTCAATGAGTGAAGGAGAGGAGGGAGACACAACGGATGGGAATAGAGGAAGAAAGAGGATTACTCGGGAGCAGCAATCGGATGAGGAGCGGCAAAGGAAGAGGATTCGGGATATACTTACGGCACCTACAGATGAGGAATCATTTGAGGGTTTCTCTGGGGATCACAGAGTGGGGGAAATGGGGATGACACTGTGGATTAGACTAAGTTAAAAGAAGTGCAAGCTATTTGTGCAGAGCCAACATCTAGTGATGCATTTATGGGATTATCTGGAAGTGAAGACTGGCAATCGGGGAATACAGCTGAGTCTTGGGGGGATCTAAGTCTTGACAGGAGATTGAGAAGATGGAGGGATGGGTGTAGGACTTCACGTGAAGAGTTGAGAGCAGCTGCAAGGGATAATCATGGGGCGGTGGTCAGTTCATCTTCTGATGATGATGATGATGACTTCGGAGTACTGTGTTTGATTCAGTGGGTTCAGGAATGGGGGATCTTTGCAGAAGGCAAAGTGTTGGTATACGTTTGTGCATTGGGTACTGTCTGGACTTGTCGCTACCTGTTTCATGTTCGGCATTGGGTTTGGGATCTGCAGGTTGCTGCTCCTGTTCGTGTGTGCTTTCGACTCGGATTGGATTCTCGTGAGTGTGGATTTCCCCCTTCCTTGACCTTGGACCGGCTTGACTACAACGCTGCTTCTGTGGACTTTGGAACTTCGCTACTTCGGATGTCTCTTGCTACGATCCTGGACTTCACTTGACTACGCTTTCTTCCCTGCGGCTTCTCTGCTTTTGTTTACCATTTGCATGCTGTGCCTTCTTTGTGTGACTTCGGAGTACTGTGTTTGATTCAGTTCTTTTGTCCAGTTAATCCGGATTAAACTTTTGTATACTTTTTGAACCAGAACTGGTTTTACCTTTGAGTTTTGACCAGAGGCATTGAGTTAAGTGTGTCTGAGTCTTTTTCCTTTACTTAAATAAACTGTTTTGGAACTAACTCTGAGTCTGGCCCTTTAAGGCGTTTGTAATTCCGACAAAAGGAATGCCACCAATATGCACACAGCTATATGGAGTAGTTATTTTTGGAACAGGGAGGAAGCCCCTATGGAAATACATAACTGACTTACTTTTGGGAGGAATAAATCGTGTTTTGCCCCTATATTTGAATTGCATTAGTTTATTTGCATGCAGTTAAGTTACCTCTATGCATGACCCGCCGTGAATGCATATGCTCCAAGGCACTGCACAGCTGAACAAAGTACTTCCAAACTGTCCTTTCAGGAATCAACCTCTTCTGCTTCTTAAAATGCTTTAAAATGAAAGAGAGCCCTGTTAATTTGTGCATCTATGAGTGGAGAAACATTACACGTTGATAACATTATAAAGCCCAAATGCCACTATCAGTTCCAACTGGAGCAGGACCATGGGATCACTGGATGTAATGTAACTGCTGACTTAACCAAATTCTTAATGACATCACTCTAATAGGGGCTAATGATCCAGTTTTTATCAAAATGATCAGCATCATGGAGGTCATGTTTAACCGAAATTCCAACTAAGAATTTGCCACAAGACTATCGTTATGAGCACATTTCTTACCACACATCTACCACCTTCTTAAAATTGAAGATGGAATCTTGTTAGCCTTGATGTTGTACTGATATATAGGTATACCTTGGTTAACTAAGTAGATGAATTTTTGTTTCCAGAGAGGAAGTAGCACCACCAAAAAGAACATTATGCACCACATGAAATGAAACAAGCAGACTAAGTCTTCTATAAGTAAATAAAAATATTTCAATATTCTGTAGCCCACTTAAAAGTTTCTTCAAATTACATCTTGAGATTATTTTTCTTCTTTCAATAGTCTCCACTTAACAGCACCTAGCATCTCATGGCTTTTCTTATGATTTCTATTTTGATAGTGAAACATTTTTTATGATAGAACATCTATGCTTTTTTAAAATGCAAGGGTAGCTAGGGAAACAAGCTAATCTTCTCTTCACATATGCTTAAGTTAGTTCACTTTACCTGTTGCACTCACGACTACAGTGGGATCACCAAGGCCTCTTCCACACAGTTGTATAAAATCCACATTGAACTGGATTATATGGTAGTGTGAACTCAGATAACCCAGTTCAAAGCAGATATTGTGGATTATCTGCCTTAATATTCTCAGTTATATGGCTGTGTGTAAAGGCCCCAAGACTAGAATGCCATTCCTTGCCAGGTCAAGTCATATTGCATTGTTTACACTGCTACAACACAGTATTAACAGTCTGCATCTCTCCAGGCTTACTTCACCATTAAAATAGAAATCAATAGTGAAAAACAAAACAGAACAAAAACTTCTAGACAGAGGAAGTGGGCTGGACTGGATAGGGAGCTTCAATAAGACTTTGTAAAAGTGAGTCTTTGTCACAGGCTTATTTAACTGGGGTATGTATGCTTATAATGTTTAACCTCACTAAGAAGTAAAAGAGGAATGTTTTCACCAGAGGATGTGATGAGATGGGTGACATGGGGCTGAAATTGGGTTATTGCTCCTTTCTTTACTGCACTTACAGTAAGAGGAAGACAATACTGTGTCTGTTCTGTGAATAAGACCAAGAGACACACCCAAAATAGAGTAAATTATATTGAAATGCATTTTAATATAAATTAAGAAAATTGATGGATAGGTAGATATATAGATAGATCGTTTTCTCAAAGCATTTTTCTCTTCTTTTTATAAAGAGACAATGTTTGAATTTCAAATCCTTAAATGCTGTCTTCACTCAGACCTGGATTCAATCCAAACACATCCTGTGCTATCTGTTCTTCCCATAGCTGGAATTTACATATCAGAGGATTGTTTGATGTCAACAAGAAGACAGAGACCAGGTTTCTTTTCATTTAAAAATAAATATGCAACTTCAAGTATATGAATATAAAAGCACGCCTCTTTGTTTTTAAAATCTTTTTGAGTTCATTTTAACAATGAACTTTTAAACAAACTTCACCTGCTGATGAAAACTCCTTATACACAGTTTGTTGTACCGAAATATTCAATACCTACTTATCCAAAAATAGTCATAATATACTATACTATATTATGAATATTTTTTTCTTTTTTCCTGTAGTATGATGTTTTATGCAAGTTGAGAGTTACGTGAAAATGAATGGGATTTTGCCGTAGAGGAGTGGGAATTTAACAGCCACCCAGATATAGCTTGATGTAGTTTCCAAGAGTCCTTATGGGCACAGGCAAAGTGCTGGGCATTTCAGTCCCACAACATTTGGAAGGTCACACGATTCCCCCACACTTTTGTAAGAAATCACAAATGAGAAACTGCAGTAGCCAGGCTTAAAGCCAAGACAGCATGGCCTGTCCAATTTGCCAATGATTTGTGCATCTGATGCAAAAGCATTAAAGACCCTGAGACTTGTGACCTGCTAAAGGTAACTCCATGAGTTCTTCAAAGCTGAGTGGGAATATGAACCCTAGACTTCCAGAGTCTTAGTCTGACATTGAGATCATGTTGGCTCTCAATAATCTTGGTTATTTGTTAGTTTCAATATTTTTGTCCCTGTGTAAAAAATTAGAACAGGGCTGGAAAGAGATACTGTTGAATTTCAATTCTCATTAGTCCTAACCAGCACAGCATATGAGGGAGGAATGCTGGAGGATGTAGTTCCACAACAGGGAATCTGCTGCCTGGGAACAACATTCACTATATATGTATTTCCACCAGTCACAGAGTAAAGCAAAATTAAAGAGGCAGTATTCTTGAGGCCAGAAGGTCATGATCAGGTGCAGAACATAATAGTCCAAGAGTTGTAGAAAAAAATGGAAAGTAGTAAAAGTATTCAACAGTGGGAGGAAAAATCCTTAAAGAAGTGACAGGATTCTGTCCTGAGCCCAGTGCTATTTGGCATCTTTATAATGGACTCAGTTGATGGAATAGAGGTCATGCTTATCAAATCTGCATATGATACCAAATTGAGGGGTAGCTAACACACCAGGGGACAGACAGGATTCGAATTCAAAATGATTTTTTAAAAGAAATTTTATTAAATTTTATATAGAATACAACAAAAGAGTGAGAACAATTAGGTATAGAAAAGTAAAGAAAAAAAGAGAGGGAAAGTAAGAAGTAAAAAAAAGATATCCTAAATAAAACCCTATAATAATAATAATAATAATAATAATAATAATAATAATAATATAAAAAATAAAATAATAAAAAATCAAAAATCAAAAAAATCAAAATGATCTTAACAGAACAGTTATATTGGCCAAAACTAACAAAATTTGGAGACATATTAGGCAGAAAATAAAATAAAAGGTACAGATACAGAATGGATGATAGTTGGTCTATGTGAAACAGGTCTAGGGCTCTTAGCAATCCACAAGCTGAACATGAATCACCAGCGTGATGCAGTATCTTAAAAGGTCAATGCAAATCTCAGCTGCATCGACAGGGGGTAAATAGTCTATTTTGCTTTAGTAAGACCCATGCTCTATAAGACCTGTGTTCAATTTTAAAAAGATATTGACAAGCCAAACTTGTTCAAAAAAGAGCAACCAAAATGGTAAAAGTTCTGGAGACCATGCTCTATAAGGAGTGGTTAAGGGAACAAGGTATGTTTAGCCTAGAGAAGAAGAGGTTAAAAAGTGACATGATAACCATATTTAAATAACTGAAATGTCATATTCAAGATGGCACAGCCTGTTTTCTTCTGTTCCAAAGGCTTGGACATGGAGCAATGGAGTCAAACTCAAGTAAAAAAGATTCCATCTAAACATTAGGAAAATTTTCTCTAGAGCAGTGGAACATGCCACCTCCAAGTGTGGTGGAGTCTCCTTCTCTGGAGATTTTGAAAAATAGGCTGGATGGCCATCTGTCAAAGGTACTTTGTGGATTCCTGCTGGCAGAATGAGGTTGGACTGGATGGCCCCTTTGCTCTCTTTAAACTCTATAATTCTATGATTTTTTTTAAAGTTAAGATTAAATAAAATAACCATTACTTACAACCCCTCCTCCCGCCACAAAATAGGTATTACAGGTAGCTTCAAAACTCTTAACAGCAAGCACAGATGTAGTAAGTTCAAAGTATTATTTTTATTTCCTTTAGGAAGATACTTAATAAAAAATATATTAACTTGAGGCTTTGTTCTATAATTAATACACCTAGTGTTCGTGTTGCTTGGTGTACTGCTGGAAAAATATTGTTTAAAAGATCGAGAACAACTTTTAAAATCTAATACACAGAAAAGCTCAGAGGAGAAAGGTGACAGAATGTCATATACATATAAAATGTACATATCGTCTTGATAAACAGTAGATGGTACATATCAAAAGAATTTTTTAGTTCTCAATAGAAGGAAGTGTATTTTTGTTGTAGAAAATCTAAAAAAATAGATTTTAAAAAAAGTTTCAGTAAAAAAATCAAGGTTTAACAAAGAAAATATTCTTAGAAATGCAGTTTTGTCCCAATTTATGGCTGGCTTCTCCCACATTTCAGAAAGTACTATTTTCCATGCACATATCGTACAATTGCAGTATCCACGCGGGATACATTCCTGAAATGGTTGTGGAAACAGAAAACTGGATAATAGCAAATCTTATTGAAATGAATGAATTCCAATGGAAGTTACCAAAGAAAAATCCTGGAGAGAATTATAAAGGAGGCAGATTTTGCCCGATGTGGGAGGTGAAGCTGCATCTGGTTCCAAAATCATGATGCAGTTACCAAGAGCTTTCCTTTTTAGTAGACATCTATACATTATGTGGACCACTTAATGCAACAGATTGGAACCAATTTTAATCCCTATGGCCTCTGACATGGGCTATACTACCTTACTTTGGTCACTGAAAATGTGACAAAACTTTCAATTATCTCTGACTGTGGGAAATTTCTAGGGAGGAAGATAACTAGTCATGAATGTGAATGGTTTTTGTTAGGTTTGGGGTGAAAAATCATACAGAAATCACCCAAAACCCCGGGAGCTAACAAAACTGGCATTTAAGGGCCATGTCCAACTCAAACATCACAATGTCCCCAAAGATACACAGTGAGAGTTACCATCTGAACTATTATCTCAAACTTATATGAGTGTACAAGTGCAGCTTATTATCACATCAATGAAGGCTTTCTAAGATGTTACACTATTTACTCCTCTTGTGCTGTTCAGGTATCAGTAAATCTTCCAGGTCACATGATCAATGTAGATCATCAGGCTATATCAGCTGGTATTGCCTCCCCCCCCCCCCCCAAGTGCTCTTGCCATTTAAGCAATTCGGAGATTGTAGCACTTGATTTATG